GAAGAAAAATTGTATAAACATGAATATTGTAGCGTTTTTTAAACAACTACCACTGCGAACGGCAGCTTTTCATCGGAGAGCAGTCGTGGATAAGGTATTTCACTAGAGAGAAAATTAATCAATAATAATAAACAAAAGATATATAGATATTGGGCGCCAGGCATGTACAGAGAAAGAAAACACAGTTGTATAATACTTAAAACTAATGACTATATTTATTCGTGATGAATTCTGATGGTAAATAGCATTGTACAATTAATATAATTATTATAGTGGTTACTTGTTGAGTAAAACTATATATGTAAATAATATTAAATACGTTCTATGAAAAGACTATAAAGAAAAGCACAATGCGTGTAACGTTATAGAAATATAGAAAGTAGCATTACTTTTATTTAAATTGTTAAATTTATACGGTGTTAAAATCAGATGTGTTGCAACCTGTAGATTCTAGAATCTATCTCGTTATTCATCTGTTAGTATAGCGTAATAATGTCTATAGAAAGTAATACTATTACAATGCGTGATATTATGAAATCTAAAATCTAAATCACACTTTTACTACTGCATTGACATAAATATCCTTAATAATCTAACCACTAAATATAGTCTGTACACTATTGTTTAAAATGTACGTTACTGTTTAAGACTGAAAACATTTTAGATGTGAAATGCAAAACTAGAACTTAAATATACACTTAGCTGTTCTTTTATGTAACCCTGCTTCAAACAGGATCGCAGTTTTGAGGAGGTCTAGCATCTCTGTACTGTCTGTCTTACCCTAGGATCCAGGCTTAGAAATGGGGTGAAGCAGCACGGGGCTCAAGCCACATCCACGCTGGGGCACTCTATGTGTAACAACAAATCAATCCTACTGGGGGACACTTGTCCATGGGACATCCGTCCATAAGATCAAGTGGCACAAGAGAACACTACTAGGCCCTTGAAAAATAGTCCATAACTTGGACACTTGTCCGTAAGAGACCCTCGAAATACTTCCGAGAGCTCAATAAATAACAATCTGTCCTTTCTTCCAAATGACATTCTGGAGGACAAAAGCAAAGGGACATAAAGTGCCAGCCAAATAAATTACAAGTTGGGACATCAAAGTCCTCCTACCTAAAAATATTCACTAATAATATCGAATCTAAAAAGGAGAATAACTCAGCTTTACCTGTAGCTTCGAAATGGCAGCTGATTCAGATAATACAACCAGATTTAAATGACCACCATTTCTCAAACACTGGGAACTAATGGCGTCCTAAGAGGCTTAAACGGTCCAACCTGGAAAGTGAAGTTAGCAATGGTCTACAGAGAATTGACAGAAGCGATGTTGACAGCGCGCGCTCCCACAGAGCGATACCAGGGTTGTGTCAAACGATCACAGGGTTGGCGACCAGGGAACGTAAAAATTACGTGTCAAATAAACTATCCGGCCTGAACGAGAGGGAATCCGGTGATGATAGGCCCAAACATCATATATTATATATAAAAAAACATGTAACGAACTAAAAACGTTACAATATGGAAATGCATAGTTTTAGAGTTACAAAGTGTTAAAACTTTTGTAATTATCATAAATACCATTATTTTTTTATTTGAAATTGCTCTAGCTTGGACTAATAGTAATAATAACTAATGGTAATAATGTTTAATAATAAATTAGGTAAAATATATAATTTATTAATTTTTTATTAATTGTGATTAATGAAATTGCGTTTATCTCATCAAGGAGGCCGAATTCGACAAAATATCAAGAGATAACTTTCAACTGGTATTAAACGGCCTACAGAATTTTGATATCAAAAGATCGAGGGGTTCATGTTTTTTTTTGAAAATATTTCAGTGATAACCCATATGCACGTCCCTGATAAATTTATCGACACTTTTTAGTATTAAAATATGTAGCACTTTTTTCAGTTTCATTCGAATCACTAAAAGTACTTGGAAGAAAATTATAATAAACCGAAAGATTATTAAAAGACTTTAACATTCTGTAGAAACAAAGCAGAATCGAACTAATGTTGACATGGAAAATAAATCTTATTTTATATGAGGAATCTCCCCACGAGAGACGGTACATGTTTTTTGAAACAAAACACTCTGTATATTTCTTTCAACTTTCATAAACTTATGTTAATGTTTTTATTTAATTCAACGCGGTGATGTTAACAAAATATAACTTTTATATTTTGTAAATTGTCTTCTAGCGGTAAAAATCCTAGAATTATTTTAATTTTGTAACTAATCTACTTTTTTTCCATAGCAACTGTTAAAATTGCCTTATATCTATCAAAAATAGTAGATAAAATAGTACTTTTGTAATAGAATAATATCAAGCTTTGTAAATTTTTATCTTTTTGGTTTGTTATTCTAAGATGAAACCATTTCAGTTTACGAAGTTATCAGTCGACATAGGCAAACGAATTTTAAAAGGCCTAAGCAAATAATCTAATGATATTCAAGACACATAAACTCTCTAAAAGTACGCATATACTGAGAAGACTAACTAATAAAATAATACAATCTTCTAAATAATTTAAAGAAGCGCTGCAGGAAACACAAGAACAACTAACAACAAATAATAACGAGAAGCACATAAAACGAGGGTAAAAGTAGAACAAACATTCATCCCTTATTATCAAAACTCTATTTGACAGAGTGGTACCAGTTGTGTGTGTACCCTAGGGATATCTCAAAATAAACAACGCAACAAAAAGCACGTAGGCATGCTTAAGGAAATAAGTAAATTAAATCATCCCCTCGCTAGAGGTTTTACCCCTGAAAATTAAAAGTATTAAATATATGTTTTAAAATCAGAATAAAATGTCTCACGAGATGAGATGTCTGAAAATGACACCAAAATAGGATTATCTTTTTTCCATTACCTAGAGTTAAATAAAATAGACAAAAATGTGACAAATAAAAGTTAATTTCTAGGCCTCTTTTTTTCTAAGGTAATCCTATGGCACGATATCATTTGTATTAGTTAAGGCTTAGATTATGAATATTATCCAGCAAATTGGTAAAAAGAGTAAGATTTTACGGAAGGGTTTAAAAATTACATTTAATTAATAAATAGGACATGCTGATGCCCTCTCGGGATAAGGAGACGAGAAGCCCCATTTTTGCTTATCGGTGCTTTTGCAGAAGTGCAGAGATCAACGAAAGGAGGTACACCTATGCTTCATAGACTACACGAAGGCATTCGACTGCGTCAACCACAGGAACCGCTGAGCATCCTCAAAGAAGGGGCTGGAACCCAATGTAGTAACGCCTTTCCAAAAGGTAGTACCAACATCAGTATTTAGCGATCTTCAAAACTAGTTCGGTACTGACTTTTAAATTAGACGGTCGAATTTACTCCGTGTAGATCTTATATTATCCAGTGGTCCCTTTAATTGTTTAGTAAGTTCTCTATCTAAAGATTTTCTCTCAAATAAATTCTCAAGTTAGGAAATTCTAAACTATTCATGCTTACAGTATTTTAATTGTTGTTTTTGGATTTTCTCTAATATTTTTTCTTTATTAATGATTTAAGACTTTCTGTTTGTTCTAAAGGCTTTAGTAAATTTTAGATGTCATTGCATAAGTGATTATTTTGCAATTGTTCTTTTTATTAAATTCTAATTTAAATTTAATTGTTCAGTGAATATTTTTTTAATATATTAATTTTCTGCCAACGATAATTCTAAGAGAGATTTGAAAGTGTATGCTAATTGTTGATAATTTAAATTGGACTAATAAGAAGAATATAACTAATATAACTTTATTATCTCTGGGTTTTAATTTCAATTCTCTAATTGTCATTAATTATTTTTGATTCAATTTCTTTCTTTTTCATTAATTATAAATGTTTTGTTGTTAAATCTTTTTCTTTATTTTTTATTTATTTATTGCTTTATATTAAATATAGTTAGGTGTTGTGAAAAATCGGCATTTTATTTCTTTAGTTTTTACCTAATCACTAAAATATTAAGTTATTGAGAAAAGAACACTGTGAATTGAGGTAGAGTGGTTCAATCCAAGGTATGAGTCCAAGACCGAAGAGGATAGATCTACAAGGGGATCAATGAAATCTTCGACAGGTTCTTGTTGTTGATGTATTCTCTGATGGATGTTGACGTAATAAGGTAAATGGCAATAGAGTTTATAGTAACTGAATTTAGATGTGGGTATATCGCAGAATGCTGAGAATACCATGGACTGACGTGTCTCTCGAATGAACGAGTTCTAAACCAAATGAACAAGGACCGAGAACTCCTCGACATAATAAAAAAGAGAAAGCAGCCTATTTGGGCCATATCATGAGAGATATAGCAAGTAATGAATTCCCTTCAGCTCATCATCGAAGAGCCCTTACCATAAAAGTGCGATACCTTTTAATTTCTATTTTTAGCTGGTTATATTTTGTTTTTATATGTAAACGATAAACTATATTTACGCTCTGAAAAGACGGTGCTCTCATTAATCCAAGTTCTGCCTACCGCTTAATAAATTATTTTAATTATAAAAATTATATAAAGGCCATACTACCATGATAACGGACAAAATCTTGAAAGTTTTGTCACACTTTAACAGCGAGGATAAGTTAAAAACTTTATTTCCTCTCGCACGTTTTTTAATTGCTTCCATTTTTGAAAATTTTTTGTATTCCTCTTCATAAGTTATTCGGGATTTAAAGGGAAGTAGTTTGGATATGGCGTTTGTCGCCTCAGCCTGAATATCTGTTGGTAATTTACGTATTTCGTTTTGAGCCATTTCTGGCTCCAAGTCAATCAGCAATCGACACGAAAGAGAATTAAAAAATGTACTAAACTGACAACTAAAGAGAAACCAACGCCAACCCAGCACAATATTTTTTTCTACTCGTAATAAATTCCTTGAAATAATATTTTCTGAATATTTTTTAAAACGTTACTCGCTATGGTCGATAAAATACCATTTTATCGTCTTGTATAAAAAATAACTAATTTTGCAACTTCTACTACTGAAATTACCTCGTCTTAAGGTCATAGTCCTGCTCCCCTCCGTCGCACTAAACAATCCGTTACACGTGGCGTCTCCGCTTTGGGCAACCCTGTAGTCCACGCCGTCCGAGTTTTCCGATGACGGTGTGGTTTTCTCGTAGACGAAACATCGGAATCGATCCTCGTTGGACGTGACGTGATGATGATGGATCTGGCCGACCAGGTAGCGGACGCTACCCTCCTTCCACGAAGCCAGGCACTGCAATTCTTCAACTGAAAATGACACGAAAATTAGTTAGTCGACTAACAAAAAAAATGGTAATTATATACAGAGGGAAATGAATAAAGCTTCATTCAAAACTCAAAATTAGTGGAATAAATTAGTGAATTTAATTTGTTTCTCTCTACAATTTCCTGTCTCACAATGTACCGTGAAATGGGGTGACTTTACGTTAGACGTAGCCGTAGCCACTACTTGAAAAGAACGCGTTATGTGCTATCGGTAAATTATGGGTGGAGGCGCCCCACGTCTCGGAACGTCGCTAAACGCTTGCCGTCAGTTGCGATGTAGCATTTACAGTGCTGTGAAGCCAAATCTGTTTTTAAAGCCTATTTTGTTTCAAACTTCTACGTGGCTGCAATAGTTAACCACGCTATATTGAGGTAAGTATTATCAAGAAGTTCGTTATAATATTGAGGGTGATGAAGCATATTTTACGTAATTATGCTTTTAAATGGGGTGGCTTTGGTCTATCAATAAGAATAAGGAAGAGGGCAAAGACACCCCATATAAGCAACTAACTTTACCCGTCCAGTTTTTTTACTTTTTATATATATATATATATATATATATATATATATATATATATATATATATATATATATATATATATATTTGTTTAATAAACAAAAAAGCGTATTATTGTTGTGTTGTCCTTATTACCGCTTATAGCATAGACCATGCGCATTTGAGAAAATACAACAATTTTTGAAATAAACACGATTTAAAATTCAGAATTGGGCAAAGTCACCCCACTTTACGGTACCGTTTGTGTCGGGGAAGGTATCATAGTTTCATAGTTGTCGATTTTCGAAAGAAATCAGTACATGTATATTATTTCGTATATTTTTCATTTTATTGATTTTATGGAAAGCACTGTTCATTAAAATGTTGTATCCTATGTTATAGGGCTTGTTTCTCTCTACAATTTCCTGTCCTGGAAGGGATCAAAGTTTTATAGTTGTCGATTTTCGAAAGAAATCAGCACATGTATATTATTTCGTATATTTTTCAGTTTATTGATTTTATGGAGAGCACTGTTCATTAAAATGTTGTATCCTATGTTATAGGGCTTGTTTCTCTCTACAATTTCCTGTCCTGGAAGGGATCAAAGTTTTATAGTTGTCGATTTTCGAAAGAAATCAGCACATGTATATTATTTCGTATATTTTTCGTATATAAGTGATATGCAAATACAAATATTGAATGTCGTAAAAAGCAAAAAGCTTTCTAAATACCGAAATAACAATAATTGAAAGTCTCTAAAAACACTTATTTTGGTTGTGCAAACCTTTCAAATAATTATAACTTGCAAGGTTCCGAAGAAAGTTTAGCAGATATTTTCTTAAGTGGGGGTATATCCTAAAATAACTGGATTATAATAAATGCTAATATACGTACTACTTCTGTTTTAGAGAATTTTTTTTCTAATAATTTAAACAAGGAATTCTTTTATAAATATTATTACATCATCACAAAAATCACCCGATAGCAAAATCAAAACTTTATTCGCGCAAAATTAAAGATCAAACATCCAATATGAATATCAATATGTACTGTATTGCTGATGTATGTAAACTCGACGATTTTTTTGCAAAATACGTTTACGTGGTGCTTTGTTAATAAGCTGTTTTGAATTTTCCGGTTTTGTTCTATGATACTTCGTTTGTTATTGCGAACCTTTTTTATTTTTGTTTGTTACCAATTGCTAATTCGGATTTGCGTTTTGTGTTACAGTTCGTTTGCGAGACAAACAAGATCCATTTAAATGTCTGACAATGCTACTCAAATTTTCCTTTTATAAATCTTGGTATTCTTTCTGTTTTTTTTTATTCGTTTAAGGTTTACACAGTATTATTTTGTAATGATTAATGTATTCGGAAAATTAGATTTTATTTCTTATTTGTCAGTCAGTTTTTATTAAATTTTGTTTGTGACAAGCGGAATTCGGATATTTCAAGCATTGTTCGTCGCTCTGTATTATTTATTATGTACTGTATATACAGCTCATGTCATAACTTATGTTAATTCTGAAATAAATAAAGGAGTCTCATAAGCACAAGTATTATGACTACACTAAAACAAATTGTTGAATTAATCTTCCTCTTTTACAACTTAATAATTATTATATTTTCTGTTGGTTCTAAAACTTTATTTGCTTGTTGAGTCTCTGTGTTGCTTAGCTCTTATTAGCCTATGATTATAAAACACCAAAACCAGTCAATTTTCAAATTAATATACAGGGCGTTCAAAAAATAATGTATCTACGTTTGGTGGCCGATTCTACAGATAAAAATAAAACAAAAAGTTCCTATGAATATATACCCTAAAATGATTCCCAAAAAATTTACAGCCCTAGAATTGTTAAATAAAAAAAATAAATTTTGTTTATTTTGAAGAACATTGGTAAACCATTTTTCCTAGATTTTAGTACCCTTACACAAATTTTAATGCCAAAGCAAATGGCGATTGTAAAAAATTCCGTAACAGCGCTAAAAGAGTACGCAATTTTTACCGAGTGACATTTTTTACGTAAAAACTCACGGAAATGTATATTTTTTTACTCACTAGTTTTATACAGGTACCTCACTAGTGTTATACAGTTTCTGAGTAGAAATATTATGTGTAGTGGAAAATATAATTTTTTGGGTTTTATCTGAATTCAAACTCAGGTAGTTACCAGAGAACCATTTTTCAGCTTTTAGGACAAAGTGCTTACTATTTTCTTCTTCTTCTTCTTTTTCGTGTGCCTTCTCCTCATCGGATGTTGGCGACCATCAAATGGAATTCCTCCCTGTCTTGAGCCAAACGGATAATTGCACAGGCCTCTCCTATATTAAACCACTGACGCAAATTCCGCAACCAGGAAAACCGTTTACGCCCGATGCCTCGTCGTCCTTCAATCTTTCCCTCAACGATCAGCTGTAGGAAACTATATTTGTTATTTCGCAAAATATGACCAAAATATGCTGCTTTCCGTCGTTTTATTGTAGTTAATAGTTCTGGGTCCTTACACATTCTTTCTAATACTTCGAGATATGTTACTCGTTCGGTCCAGGATATTTTCAACATTCGTCGGTATAACCACATCTCAAATGAATCCAAGCGTGACATGGGCCGTGCCTTCAACGTCCATCCCTCGACTCCGTATAACAATGTAGAGAGTACATAGCATTTGGTAGCTCAGCATCGAGTAGTCAGATTCAGGTCTCGGTTGCAGAGTTTTCATTTTGAAAAAAGTGTTTCTGGCTATTTCAATTCTATGTTTGATTTCTTCATCAGGATCCCATTTATCATTCAGCCAGCAACCCAAGTACTTAAATCTTCTTACCCTTTCTATATTTTGATCTTCCACTTGTATCCTGATATTTTCGATATTTTGTTTGCTGATAATCATAAATTTTGTTTTGTTTATATTTATTTTAAGACCATGACTCTGACTAATACTGCTAACTCTGTCCACCAGGCACTGCAAATTCTTCTCATTGCCAGCTAGGAGCACCGTATCGTCAGCATATCGGATGTTATTAATAGATTTACCATTTACCTTTATTCCCACTTCTAAATCTTCCAACGCCTCCTGGAATATCGATTCAGAATATAAATTAAACAGAAGTGACGATAGTATACATCCTTGTCTGACGCCTTTAAGAATTTCTATATCCGTTGTTGACATATTTTCGATTTTTATATAAGCTGACTGATTCCAATATAAGTTTCTAATGATTCTGATGTCTTTGCCATCTAACCCAATCCGCTTCAGTAAATGTATCAGCTTGTCATGTTTCACGTTATCAAATGCCTTCTCACAATCTATGAAACATGCGAAGGCACTTGTCTGCTGATCGAGGCATTTTTGGACTAAAACCTGTATTGAGAACAAAGCATCTCTGGTTCCCAGCCCACTTCTAAAGCCGAATTGAGTTTCAGTGCAAGACACGCAGAAACACTTTTAATGTATGACACATAAGGCTTATCAGATGATACTCATTGCATCTTTTGGAGTTTGACTTTTTAGGGAGCGTTACAAATGTGGATTGCAGCCATTGTTTAGGTATCTCTCCTGTGTTGTAGATGCGATTAAACAATTTAAGTAGAAGATTCATATTTTCTTCGTCCAACAGTTTGAGGATTTCAACATTTAAATCATCAGGACCTACAGCTTTTCCATTTTTAGTTTCTGCCAAGGCTATAACTAATTCCTTCTTTAGTATGTCTGGTCCGTCTAAGCAATTGTCCCATTGATCTCGATAATCATTAAAACAGTCCGTTATGTAAGCTCTCCATATATCCAGTTCTTCTTGTTTGTCTATCACCAGTTTGTTTTTATTATCAATAAGTTTGCCGGATATTGTACGTTTATAAGTGTATGTCACCTCTTTGATCTTTTTATGAAGGTGAAAACTATCGTGTTTTTGTTCCAGGGTTTCTATATCAGCCCACTGTTCGTTTATCCATTTCTCTTTAGCTATTCTGATTTCACGCTTGATGATTCTGTTGATCTTATTATAATTTTCCAAGTTGTTCTTTCGTAGTCTTCTTTCCTCCATTAATTGTAATATTTTATTGGTCATCCAGTCTTTCCTTGTATCTTTACTCGCCTTCCCTAGGATCTCCAAGGTAGTATCTTTGGCTGTATCTCTGAAATTTGCCCATATTTTATCAGTTTCCATATCATTTATATGTTCTTTCAGACCTTTTAACTTGCTATTAATTTATGTAGAAAGTTCATGTTTTTTGTCGCTGTCCTTAAGAGCATCGAGGTTTATTTTATTAAATTACATTTCTACGGATTTTTAATTTGATTCTGAATTGCGCCACTATAGGGTTATGATCTGACCCAATATCTGCCCCAGGATATGTTTTACAGACTTTATGGCATTTCGGAATCTGCTATTAATCATGATGAAATCGACTTGGTTCCTTATTATTTTTTCGGGACTATCTTGGGGTGATTTCCAAGTATATAATCTCCTTGGAGGCAGGATCTCTC